TAACCACTACCTCACTGTAGGCCGTCTATTTGCTTCACAGCTGTTATCACATATTTTCTGAAGTTATTTATACTTAATCACATTCTTACTAATGACATTTTAAAAGTAATTTAAATTATGCTCATGTTTACACTCATATGAAAATAACTTCCCCAAGTAATCCAGATACAATTATTCATCCACCCACAAATTCATCTTGAAACCTATTCCAGCAAAATCAGCTGGAATAGCTGTGTGTTCTTCTCTTTCTGCAACGTTGCTGCAACGATAAAATAAGGAAACGATCAATTCCTAAAATCAGAAATGTTGAATTTTTTTATGTATAAAAACAAATAAAGAGGCAATATTTAAGTATTATTGTCTAAATCGAAGGTCTACGACTGAATTTTATGTATTTACATATAAAAATTAAAATATAATGTTGGATTTTAAGACTTTCTGTTATTTCTGATTCTCTTGTCCTCATCTGACCTCTGCCCTCACAGACTCTTTCTCATAACTTGCTGCCTCTCATATGAACTCACTTCAAGCTATAATCCCACTGTTCATGAATAAACCACAAATTCTGCACATAAACCTGTCTAAGCATCAAAGACTATCATTAAGCTCTGCTGCAGGACTAGCTTTCTCCAGAATGTGCTTCTGGGTTTTGTTTGTCAAATGGCGCCATCTAGCAATGGGATTGTAGTACTGCTGAATATAAAAGTAAGCTTTGTCTTTAAGTGTTTTCTTACCCCTAAATATATCTTTGATCAAATCCCTTTAGGCATATAGGAAAGTCAGCTTTTGCAGATGATACGCTCATCAGGAAGAGAGGAAGAAGTGTGCAGATTGTTTAAAAGAAGCTGCAAGAAGCAGTGAAGTAGGTACAAATATGGGCTATACATGAGGATTTCAGCTCTCCATAGAAAATAAAACAAAATCGTGTATTTAAAAGGAAACATATAAGCAAAGATTGCTTCATCTATCTGCATGTCATTGGAATTTTTAGGAGTGCACTTTGATGTAAAGCTTACATGAACACAGCACATTAACAGGAATGAGAAGAAAATGTAAAAAGACTTTAAATATAATACCTGGTGGAAACACAATGGGAATCACAAAAGGTCATTTTAAAAAAAGGACATGCATATATATCAGTGATAAGATGTAGTTTGGATTATGGAGCTGTAACATTGGGTTATTATCTGTTTGTATTGAGGCACAATCGGTTTCGCAGCCTTTGGCTGAACCGAGCAGAGATCATAGACCTGGACTCTTCAGATTTAATGGTGCTGTTTCTGTGAGCAGTCACATCATCAGTAAACACTAGAAGCACTAGTTGCTGTGCTTTCAATCATGAGCTGTTTTTCTTTTCCAAGCTCTTCATTTCCCATCATTGTTATAAC